TCACAAGTATTTATAATGATGATGCTTCATTTTCCAAACAGATATTAGGCAGGAGAAAATTAAAACAGTATTAGTAAAATATATTCTACCTATCAGACCAGATTTCTTAATTTCCCTTCTATCTTCTCCTCCCCAAACCCAGCTAAGTGAAACAGAAGAAGAAGATACAAGTTGCATGAGTAAAAAGACATCTTTTTAAAAAATAAAAATCCTGTCTGGAAGAAAAAAAAAATAGAAAAAATAAAAATTAAAAAAAATTAAATAAAAAATAGGAAATTCTGGAAAATTAAAAGGAAATCTAAACAAAGGTCATATAAGCCCACTAAAGCCTCAAAGAGCAGCTTGTTGAAAAAACAAATATGAGTCATAAAAGTATTCCTAGATATATGAGAAGCCAGATGTCTGCCAGAGAGCACTCTTTCCCAGTCCACTGCCATCCTCTATTCTCACAAAGTATTTTCCCTTCCTACTGTTTTGCTTCTCAGTATTTTCTGGTATTTCCTAGTTTTTATCACTCCTTCAGAAAACAACAGCCTAACAATGATTTTTTAATCTCCAGCATGGAGCCAGAAATAGCCAGAAAATTGCCAAGGTCATTTCTCTTAAGAAGTTTGAGTTAAGCACGTCCTGTGAAGTTCACAATCTACCAATAGGTGGGAAAAAAGTTGGGACTGACTGACTGGAGCAAGAGGCAGGAATGGCAGATCATCCCTAAGCACTACAGGTCACCTGGCTGGGAACAGCTGGTAAATAGAGACATCTGCACGTGGTTCCACCCCAAGTTGACAAGGGGAGGATGGATTTCTCTGGACCAGAGAGTGATTCTCACAGCCTGGCTCAGGGGTGATGACTTGTTCCAATGGACAAATCCTGGCTGTGCTGTTCCTACTGGAAGTGACATCGAGTTTATTTATATGAGCAACACAAACAGAACCCACTGGTACATGACAGAAGGATTGTTTGCTTTATGACTCAGGCCCAGAGTCTGCCAGCTTTGAAAGGAATTGGAGTGTACACAGATTTTTTTTTTCTATTTGAGTGAAAGAGAGAGAAAGAGAGGGGAGAATTCCTCCTCTCTGGGCACTGCCAGGCTGACTTTCAATGTGTTCTGCCTCAAAACAGCTTCATATTTTAATCACTACCCTAATGTCTGTTTTCCACCCTTCATGGAAACCTACAAAGCACGTTAACTCTGTCCTGTATTCCTGTTTTAATTGTACTTTTGATTTTTAATTACAATTCACCCCTCAGTTTCCCACCCAGTTGTTCTTGCAGTCTGCAGAAGAGTGCTCTCTTGGAACCTTCCAACCCACACAGGATGGAAGGCTTCCCTCTCTTTCCCTCTTCCCAAGGGCAATGCAAGGGAAGGGATAATCCAGTGGACTAATTCAGCCCCTAGTCTGTATTGCCCTTGCTGCAGTGGATATTGGTTGGTGCTTCCTTTAAACACAACATGAAATCTGGAAAGAAAGTCATGAATTGGTCCTCAATTTTGAGGTTTGGAGTGGGATATATAAAAATGGTAAAGCACTTAATTAAGGTTGTTTTTTCTTGGAATGCCCCCACTCCAGAACAATATCATGGCATGAAGACCTGCAAACACACACAGGGACTCCTGATTTTCACTTCTCTTTTTTTTCTGAAATGTCAGGAATCCACCTCTCAGAGATTTCCTACTCACCCCATTTCTACATGAATTGCAATCACATTGATAACATTTTCCGTAGAAACAACCAGTGTCACATTTTTCATATAAATTTGGGGAAGAAGGCCTTGTTTATTTCTTGTGGATTCCTTTCAAATCTATCATAGCAATGGTTTTTTCCCCCCAATTAATAAGAAAACCTCTTTGAGAAGTTTTGCAAAGGCAAAGCTATTTCAGTAGAACTGCAGAGTATTGCTGAATCTTAGGGTGAGAACAAGCTATTCAGCTTCTGCTGACAAAAAAAAAATATTAATGGATAAATTGATTTTCACCCAGAAATCTTCACTGGAGTCTCTCTCCAAAGCTGATGCAACTTTTCTCCTTCAAGGCGGTTCATGTGGCAGTTTTGTTTCACCTTTCATATATGTAAAGAGGCAACTTGCCTAAAAAAAATCATGATCCCTAAAAACACAGGACATGCATTTTCATTTTGATGTGCAGGAAGGGGCTGTTGCATAAGAGATTTAGGACAGCGAGCAGCAGGGACAGGCACAGCATTTATATTTTAATTAGCTCATGCCAGGAGTTTCTTCAGAGGTTACTAAATTACTGTTTGTCCACCTACATTATTAAAATCTTGTGGCTTTCCACTTCAAGGACTCTTTGTACTTCCTGAGAACTGTGTTGCTGCGATTGCATATTGTTCTTAAATAACGTTCTTAAATAATCCCAAGCGATAATTTTATGAATCTGTTCGGTGCCAATTGTAATAATGGAACTTTAGCAATTAAAAAATAAAAAAATTCTAGGAAAGCACTATTTTAAACACAAAAAAAGCCCTCCAGAGCTTATCTGATTTAATAAATATTCGTCATGTGTGGGCTTCTTAAACACATTTTTAGAAATTGTGTTCTTTTCTCGAAATAATTTCGCAAATTGTCATGTTCTATGAAAAAAAGCCCATTGTTTTATCCATTTCACATCACACTGATGATGTTAACAAAGACAAATATTTTTGCATAAATACCTCTGAGGTTTTTTTTTTTTTTTTGCTACAGTAAGAATACATTAGAATCTCGAGAAACCTCTTATTTCTGGAAGCATTAATGCAATAAAGGAATGCAATCTCTTTGAAGTGAAATAGTGGTGTGGGAACTTCTGAGGTACTTCACTGCCTTCACAGGTTGATGGGTGTCACACAGAACCTCCCAATCAGGCACTGGAATCGGAAAACCTCCCTGGAAATGGAATAATCTGGGTTTTTTTTATCTGGTATCGATTTATTGCCATCCATTTTCCAGTGCTGGGGAGATACAACCACCATGAGACCATCCAGCATTTCCTTGCTGCTTTTTCTCCTGAAGGATTCATGTCCCTGCCAGTACCAGTCTAGACCCTGCTGGCAGCTCCATGAACAAAAGGAAGGATTCTGGTAGAGATCAATTTATTTTTCTGCAGCAAGACACTTCTCAGGAGTGACAGCCATGCAACACTGGGGCAGCTCACAATATATAGTTTTCTACTGAAAACAAGCTGGAACATTAATGAGATATTAATGAGAACTATGGGGGTGAGCCTAAAACGTTCTCACACTGGAGCAACACTCACTCAAGCAATCAGATTCACTGAACTCAGTGAAGTTGCTTAATTGGGACTGAATTCAAGTAAAACCTTCTCTCTTAATTGTTGCAATTCTGCTACACAGGGGTAAAAAGAGTTTGCAAAGTTTTGCCCTAATTTTATTGCCAAAAGAGCTCAGTGGTTTGGGATTCTTTTCCTGTTAGAGAGTTACTAAAGTGTTGCAAAGCCTGAGAATATGGTTTTTTTCTTACTTATAAACTGGAGAGCACAGAGGCAGAGAACCACTTAAGTTGGAAAAGCCCTCTAAGATCATCAAGTCCAACTGTTCACGCCAAAGCCTCCACTAAACCACATCCCAAAGTGCTCCATCTGCAGTCTTTTAAATCCCTCCAGGGATGGTGACTCAGCCACTTCCCTGGGCAGCCTGTTCCCGAGCCTGACAACCCTTTCAGTGAAGGGATTTTTCCCAGTATCCCATCTCAACCTCCCCTGGCACAGCTTGAGTCTGTTTTCTCTTGTCCTTTTACTTGTTACCTGCTAGAAGAGCCCGATTCTCCTCCAGCTCCCTCCTCCTGTCAGGGAGTTGTGGAGAGTGAAAAGGTCCCCCTGAGCCTCCTTTTCTCCAGGATGAGCCTCCCCAGCTCCCTCAGCTGCTCCTGCTGCTCCAGCCCCTTCCCCAGCTTTGTTGCCCTTCTCTGGATTTACTCCAGCCCCTCAAATGTCTTTCTTGGAGTGAGGGGCCCAAAAATGAACCCATATCTCGAGGTGTGGCCTCTCACACAGTGCCCAGCACAGGGAGATGATCTCTTCCCTAGTCCTTCACAGCAAAAAGCTCCAAATCCTGAAATGGATGCTTTAACACATGAATAGCTTCCTAAATTAAAAATCACATATTCCTTGGCAAGAATCCTACACCAGGTAACTCATAGCCCAGGCTTTGTTACCCCAGAGTCACTGATCATGACTGTAGCTGCACAATAGTCATGAGTCAGAAAGCAGTTTCATGTTGATAACTGAGCCACTGAAAATGAGGGTTTTAATGACTAATTTATTTTAGAAAGAGAGACAATGCTATTTATGTCATGTAAATGACTTAGAGAAATAATGCAAATGACATTGGACATTTACAAATTCATTATGATAATGGAAATCTTGAATAACTTGTAAGAGTTCCACAAGTTCCACTATTATGTTTGGCATGATTATAAGCTTCATAACAGTCTCTTGATTGTTTCTCTTTCCCTTTTGTAATGGAATTTTTCATATACAGATGCAGCACCAAACCATTAGGATGCAATGCAATTTAAGTTATTTTACCAGGAAGCAAAATTACTTGATTTATACCTTTTATCCTTGTAGCAAAATTAGATATACTGGATTCTTAAACCATTAAACCAGCTTCTAGAACTCTGCCTCTGAAACAGATTGCTCAGTTAAAAAGACTTACCTTTCTTAATAAGCATGAATCTCCATTTTTAGAATAATCTAATTTTTACTCCTGCTGCAGACCAGAGATTCTAAGCAATCATAGTGTGCAACATAGAAACTCCAAGTAAGGACGTTTCTGCTACAGTATGCAATATTCAGTTCCAAGCATTTATTATCTGGAGAACGACAGTGATCTGACTCTCTGCATAGATAGCACATCTGGCAGTCTCTGCCAGTCTCTCTCACTCCCCCACCCCCTCAAACAGCAAACCAAAAACTTGATCAAACATGTAAAACACACCTGAACATTTTCAGCCCAAGGAAAAAAGGCACGGTGGGAAATTACCTTAAATTCAGTTTCAATGTTGGCTAGTCTGGCCAGTTCATTGCTTAGCTCTAGGGCAGTAAGGACAGGGTCTTCACTGGAAAGGGACAAATAAGCAGCACTGGCTAATCCTTTGTAGGCATTCATCCTGGAGCGGGAGTGGCTAAAGGAGTCCTTCCTCTGCTTCTCGATACATTCATTGCACTTGCAAAAATAGTCGTGCGGCCTCTCGATCCGCGCGCCTTTGAGGAGCAAGATGTGGACGATCTCGTACTCCTGGCAGTGGGCGGCGAGGATGATGGGGGTGATGTCGTGGGAGAAGCGGGTCCCGTCTTCGTCGTAGGCGTAGAAGTCGTCGTCCCGCAGCTCCTGCTCCAGGGGGCTGAGCGTGAGGCGCTGGCCCTGCGCGAAGGCCGGGTGGTTCAGGATCGCTTCCACGATGCGCACGTAGCCCTTGCTGATGGCCAGCAGCAGGGCGTCCCCCACCCGGGCCAGGTTCTCCTTCTTGAGCAGCAGCTCCGTCACTTCCAGGTGCTCGTTCCCCACGGCCAGCTGGAGGGCGTTCTGCCCCATGTAGTCCACGCAGTTGAAGTTGAGGGTTTTGGATTCCTCCAGCATTTTCCGCACCACGGGGATGTTGCCATACTCGGCGGAGTCGAGGAAGCGCTCCTCCTCCGCCGTGAGGCTGGTGCCCTTCTCGTTGAACATGTAGGCTGGGCCCCGGATGGCCTGTCTCCGGCCCTTCTCCCGGAGCGTGGTGTGCCTTCGATGCATGTTTTTGGGATTGCTGGTCCTCAGCCTGCAGAAAAGCACAAAGGAAGGCTGGTTATGAGAGAGCCGTAATTTCACGTCGTCTGAAATAAGGGTAGAAAAGTCTCCTAATGATCACGTTTTGCTCACTCTTTGTGGTCTGAGCTGGCCACTTAAAATCATTTAGGATAGATGTGAGTGTGCCCCCAATGCATGTTTTTGGGATTGCTGTTCCTCAGCCTGCAGAAAATCCCAAAGGAAGGCTGGTTACATTCTGAGAGAGTCACAGTCTCACATAGGTTGAAATAATGCCTCATTACGCTCAGGTCTTTTATACTTTTTATGCTCTGAAATGGTTACTTAAAATATTTAGGGTACACATGAAATAAAGATTAGTTTCTCAACAAAGCTCTCCCCTGACTTGTGCTTCCAGATTTCAACAAGGATTCTCAGCACATTCTTAACCTGAGAAACAGGAAAAAAAAAAAGTATGAACACATTATTTTCCATTTTTACTGTTTAGAACTTCATTACATGGTATTTAGGAATAATATACACAACATAATATTTCACTGAATTACTCCTCTTGAGTTTTGTCCTTGAGGGCATGAACCCTAAAGAAAGATAGCAGGACTCAGCTGTCTTGGACAGACCTTGGATCAGGCCAATAAATTACCTTCGAGAAAGTTAAAAAGCATCTTTCTAGTTTAAAACAGATCATAACAAGGATGAATATATTGCATATCCTCCTAAGATTCAGTTGGTGCATGCAAACCTATTTATTCCCTGCTTTTTTTCATGCTACATAATGCCATTTTTCTGTTTCCTAATCTAGAGCAGTTTAATGAATAACTAATTTCTCACTGAAATACAGTTGGCAGCTGCTCCAAATACAGGTACCCAAATCCAGGGGAGAGTCTTGGAAAACATAGGAAGAACTCCTGATTTAGTGTCACATCACTGCCCTGTAAACATCTTTCAGAGAGCTGCTGCAGAAAGACAAAACACACAGAGCACAAACAGAGGGCAGGACTGAAAGAGTCACTGATTTCCCCACTGATTACGTGGCTGAAATGCCTTCACTTGAATTTGGTGGGATAGAGACAAACTATTCTTATTCCACCATCTCTGCAACCCCCAAAGAAAGTTGTGCTATATGCAATTGGGTTCAAGAGTGGGTAAACACACTATTGTATGAAAATAACCGAAATTCTTAATCAATCTGTGCCTTTGAAACAGTCACACTTTGCATTCAGTGCTGTCTCGATGTTTTTAAATTTCAGTAGCATCTCAACAAAGTCACAGTCCCTCTTTTAGAGTCCAAGCACGGGGAGTTAATCGCCATCCTAAGGCCACAGAATGTGCAGTCTGAGTAAAAAGCACAAGAACAACACCTCTTTCATGAAAAGCATTTGCACTCAGTCCCATAGCAAGTCCTAAATCACTTGGGTAAAATCTTCTGGAGCCTCTACGATGCTGTGGACAGATGTAACAAATAAGCAGGTGTTAATGCTCAATGGGTGGCAAAGGTTCCTCCTCCCACACTCCATCTGTTCTCCAAGTCAGTTTTGACCTTCAGTCAGTGAAAAGTTCATGTGTTACTCTCAGAAAATACTACTGAAGTTGGAAAGTGCTGCAG